TCCGGATGTATGTATTGTGACCGTTTTCTAGATTCTATAATACTAAGTCCTGAAAAAAGGATTAGGGCGAGTCAAGAAAAGGGACAAATAAGGGATAATTTGAGAACAATAACCTATATTCTTTTCTAAATACAATTATGATCGTCAAAAGACGTAGATAAGGCCTTTACTGAGATCTAGGGAGTGGGGGAGGCCAGGCAACTTTTGTACACGTAAAAAGGGAGTGACTCTAATGCAGAAAAAGGGGAGAAGCTAGTCGTGTCGACGGAATGCAACTAAATATATAAATGATAACTGAAGGGGGAAGAAACAAAAGAGTGTAGGCTCACCGTTGGGGGGTATGAAGGGTAATATTGTGGGGACAAGAGGGAAAATGAGGGGGTAACTCGTACTCACGATGGGACTTCACTCTGGCGAACACGTGGAATTCCACCGGCGCCTTGCACTCCTTCAAAATACCAGGGCGTTTTCCTGAAGAGCCTCCTTTCCACCTCGGGGTTGCCTGGGCACCAATACTAGAGCTGGAATGAGCTCGATGTATCAAAAGTCCTCTTTTTATCCGCCAAATAACTTCCGGGCGAATTTTACTGCATTCACTATTACTATTTTCGGGGCACGTGGTGACTCACGGGGCAGCTAATGCACGAGTGACGGTCTTTTCTTTTCCTTCGCGATTCGTGGGGGTTCGTCAGGTGTCGAAGTCCTTCGGGTTTTAATTCGGGAGCAATCGGGGCCAATCAGCACGGGTGGTGACGATGACCACAATCCAGGGATGTCTCGCAAGGGATTATTGCAGGTGTTGAATATTCGGGGGTCCAGTATGGGGAATTTCCAGGAGGCGATGGCTTCTCCAATTGATCGGGTGGGGCCGGAACTGATGTCTTCCTTCGGCTGATGTCTTCGTGATGTCCAGGGGCAGGGGCAGAGGGGCGATGAGGGGAAAAGTGAGGGAAGGGGTATCCAACGGTGGCGGAATTTACATTTTAGGGGGCAATGTGTAGTGGGAAAAAATATGTAGAAAAGTAATAAAAAATAAATGAATATGCCTCGTCACAGTATGTGTGTGTATGACCGATCGTTTTTCGACGATAACTGAAAAAATAATTGTTTAAATGAATCTAACTATGATTTAAAATATTCTTCCTAATACCACTTTGACCACGTTCGATCATGAGATTGATTGCATCATCTGTTGTTGAAAAAAATTATTTTGAAACCAATATTTTTGAGGCAATGCTGGCTGCCAACATTGAGGCGATGTCAATAAATTGAATAAAATGAATCATTGAATTCAATTGGAAAATCAACCGTAATAGAAATTCCATGCGGAAGCGAATTGTTAATTTAGGAACAAAAATATATTGACTATATTGTGACGAAAGCAATTAATGACTTCTATTTTATTTNAGGCCAGGCAACTTTTGTACACGTAAAAAGGGAGTGACTCTAATGCAGAAAAAGGGGAGAAGCTAGTCGTGTCGACGGAATGCAACTAAATATATAAATGATAACTGAAGGGGGAAGAAACAAAAGAGTGTAGGCTCACCGTTGGGGGGTATGAAGGGTAATATTGTGGGGACAAGAGGGAAAATGAGGGGGTAACTCGTACTCACGATGGGACTTCACTCTGGCGAACACGTGGAATTCCACCGGCGCCTTGCACTCCTTCAAAATACCAGGGCGTTTTCCTGAAGAGCCTCCTTTCCACCTCGGGGTTGCCTGGGCACCAATACTAGAGCTGGAATGAGCTCGATGTATCAAAAGTCCTCTTTTTATCCGCCAAATAACTTCCGGGCGAATTTTACTGCATTCACTATTACTATTTTCGGGGCACGTGGTGACTCACGGGGCAGCTAATGCACGAGTGACGGTCTTTTCTTTTCCTTCGCGATTCGTGGGGGTTCGTCAGGTGTCGAAGTCCTTCGGGTTTTAATTCGGGAGCAATCGGGGCCAATCAGCACGGGTGGTGACGATGACCACAATCCAGGGATGTCTCGCAAGGGATTATTGCAGGTGTTGAATATTCGGGGGTCCAGTATGGGGAATTTCCAGGAGGCGATGGCTTCTCCAATTGATCGGGTGGGGCCGGAACTGATGTCTTCCTTCGGCTGATGTCTTCGTGATGTCCAGGGGCAGGGGCAGAGGGGCGATGAGGGGAAAAGTGAGGGAAGGGGTATCCAACGGTGGCGGAATTTACATTTTAGGGGGCAATGTGTAGTGGGAAAAAATATGTAGAAAAGTAATAAAAAATAAATGAATATGCCTCGTCACAGTATGTGTGTGTATGACCGATCGTTTTTCGACGATAACTGAAAAAATAATTGTTTAAATGAATCTAACTATGATTTAAAATATTCTTCCTAATACCACTTTGACCACGTTCGATCATGAGATTGATTGCATCATCTGTTGTTGAAAAAAATTATTTTGAAACCAATATTTTTGAGGCAATGCTGGCTGCCAACATTGAGGCGATGTCAATAAATTGAATAAAATGAATCATTGAATTCAATTGGAAAATCAACCGTAATAGAAATTCCATGCGGAAGCGAATTGTTAATTTAGGAACAAAAATATATTGACTATATTGTGACGAAAGCAATTAATGACTTCTATTTTATTTCACTCTTGACATTCAAGTTCATCTAATTATCAATCATTTCAACTACCTTTCAATTTTTAACATCCATTACCAAAAAATAATTTCCCTTTCCCCTCAATATAAACAAATCCATGTGTAGAAAATATGCATATACTATATGACAATAAACGTAATTTCCCACTTGCTTCATTCCATTCTTGGCTTTCAAGTTATCCAATTATCAGTCATCATTCGAACAATTTTTCATTTCACATAGAGAATCCGATTTGTAATTTACGCGCGCTTTCTTGAACAGCGCCATCGCGGCCGCATTGCTCATTCTCATGAAAGTTCACATGAGAATACGTCCTTCATGCGCCGCCATGACACTTTTTACATGTCCTCCCCCATGGCAGTTTGCAATGCATGCTTTTTTTTATGAAGGAAAGAACAAGACCCTTCGTCATTTTTTGAAGCTCTCCCTCATTATAGGTCTCTCTAATGAACTCGATATGATGAAAAAGATTGTGGAACATGAGTTTAAATATACCGATAGATGTAATGGATGCAAATATGTAAAAGAACGTACAGAAACTAAAATAGTTTGGAATTTATTGATTGACGATTCAAAATTATCATCTACAGAATTGAATCATTTAATTGCCGAATCTTTGACATTCTGGTCTGATTCAAGTTCATATTGTAATAATTGTGGGAAGATAACTGAAGGTATTCGTAAGATGGAGCTGGTTACTGTTTCGAAAGTGTGGTAGTGATAAAATTAGAATCATGTTCGCCGAATGAACGGTCAAAACTAAAAATGAAAAAAATTTCTATAAAAGCTGTTCCTAACGCTCAGGTAGTTCTATGTGGTAAAAAATACAGTCATTAGCGCGATATTCCATGGAAGAGAGAAGGATGATGATACTCACTGTAGAAGTTTATTACGATTTGAAAAAACTGATTGGATCCAAGTCGATGATACCGTAATTAAATCGACAAGGTGGCCAAGGAATTCCAAGAATATATGCATGATGTTTTTACAAGTTAATTGAAAAATGAAAAATAAAAATAACGAGAGATATATAAATGAATTCACTGTAAGAAAAAATGGAAAAATTATTTCAGTGGATAAACCACAAAAAGAAAGGAAATCACACAAAAAACACCAAAAAGAGTTTTGGTGGAAAAAGACTGTGCCAAGTCCGTATGATTGTTCGTTCACAAAAATTTAAGAAATCACGAATAAGAAAGCCAAATCGATATTCGTTCATGTATTACTACAACATACGGTGATTGTGAATAAAAAAACAAAAGCGGCAGTCAGTTTATCTGGTGAACGTACTTGGCGTGTGCCGCTTTAAGTATCATACTAATTGCCATTCGTTAAACCACTGGTCAACACAGGAAGAACTATGGAAATGGAAAAGAGTTCTAAGTTGTATGGGGAATTTTACACAAGATTAAANTATGATTGTTCGTTCACAAAAATTTAAGAAATCACGAATAAGAAAGCCAAATCGATATTCGTTCATGTATTACTACAACATACGGTGATTGTGAATAAAAAAACAAAAGCGGCAGTCAGTTTATCTGGTGAACGTACTTGGCGTGTGCCGCTTTAAGTATCATACTAATTGCCATTCGTTAAACCACTGGTCAACACAGGAAGAACTATGGAAATGGAAAAGAGTTCTAAGTTGTATGGGGAATTTTACACAAGATTAAATGGCAAAACTCATGATTTACTCGCACTGAAGAGAATCGTATATGATTGGGAATGAAGAAGAAATCAATGGAGATTAGACTCTAGACCAATTTAATCTACATTTTATCGTATGTTCTTTAAGAAACTATATGAACGCCGCATAGTTTGAACAAAGTATATGTATATTTCGTGACTCCATACAAAAATGATAATGCCGGAATGAATAAAAGGAATAAATGTCTACTGCCGTATACGTCTTCCAGAGGAAGGTCATTGTCACTAAAGAAAGAAGATTCGACTGAGGCAATGGAGTGGAGAATACTCAAATTTATTGAAGGTAAAATTAGGGAAAATATATAGAAAATTATTGTTTAGACGCGCCCAAGTACGGTCACCAGATAAATTGTGGTTGCCGCTTTTTTTTTCTTGTGATTCACAATCACCGTATGTTGTACTGATAAATGAACGAATATCGACTTGGCTTTCTTATTCGTGATTACTTAAATTTTTGTGAACGAACAATCATACAGACTTGGCAGTCTTTTTCCACCAAAACTCTTTTTTGTGTTTTTTGTGAGATATATTCTATCTTCAATGTATGAGAAATCTCATTCCAATAGCCCACGACTCTTAAAACTCATAACAGTCTCCCCTTAAGATGTTCAAGCGAATGAATAAGATCCTACGAATAAAAGACATCCTTCAACTCACACAAATGCAGAAACCGAGTCTGGATTCAGTCTCACAGGGGTAATATCAGCATAAGTTTCCTCCGCCGACAGTTGGACGTTGATTGCAGTTTCATGATTCTCCACAATAGACAACAGTCTCGGCAAATCGCGATAACTGTCCGGTCCAGCTACAAGATCCACCGCTTTCTTCCTCTCCAAAATCCGTGCTTTGAGTCTCTCAGCCATGCATCCAAGTATTCCAATCCTCAGAGAAAATCTACTCCTTAGATGCTTTCGTTTTCTTTTCAAACTATTTAACTGATCTATCCTCGCCCAGATTTTCTGCTCTGCTCCCTCCCTTATAGCACAGGTCATTACCAAAACAATATCTGCTTCGTCAATCTGAATCGTTCGAGTGTATCCACTGCCTTTTAATACAGACCAAACGATTTCTGTGTCGTTCACATTCATCTGACATCCATAAACGTCGAAGTAAACTTTCTGCTCAGGTCCATAGTTTGTTTTTAGGTATGGATGATTTCGAGCGCTTACTGTAGGTGTTGTCTTCGCGTTCGCAAGAATAAAGTCTGCTAAATCGGGCCCTTGTTGAAAGCGATAATTTTTTTTATTATTAACAATATTTTCTGAATTTCCTCTTAGAGGTTCTGAATCCGCTCCAAGATAAGCTGAACAATGCAATTTATTATATTGCCACTGGAGGGATTTCACAGTATTATGAAAGATTCGACTCTTTTTCTGCAAGTTTAGGGATAAAATTCCTCGAGATGTACTGGAGTTGATGCAACTTGATAAGTATCTTACTCCGTTCATGATTAGAAAGAATTAAAGACACTTTATCGTAGTTTATTCAGAGGTTATAGCGTTTGGCATTGTTAAGTCATCATATATGACATTATGGCACTACTAGTATTAAACATTTTTTGTTTTATCACTTTTCGAGATTCTGATTGATTTGTCATTTACATTCCACTTATTGTCGATTTTTGTTGTGCCTGGCAAATTTTTTGAAATATTCCCAGTTGGAGTGCAATTTTTTTTTAAGGTTACTGGGTTACTCAATACGAAGCTTATAGGGGGAGATCTGAACCACGGCCAGAGATTATATGGGAGATCTGCAACGACTATGGAAAGTCTTCGTCCGTATTTTTTCTTAGCGGTGGCGCGAGAACTACGCGGAGTGCACGTTTGTTGATAAAACAGGGCGCGTACGCCGATGTCGATATTCCCCCAGAGATTACAGGGGAGAGCAGGGTTGGGTGTGTAAATAACGTTGGTAAATCACACCGTTTTTTACCGACGTAATTTACGTAAATTACCTCGACGGGTTTTTTATATTTTTTACATTCCTTCGAAAAGCTTGCAATTTTCGATTACTAGAATGTTTTGTTTTATTCCGCGTGACGAAGACGCAGTATTGGACACCCCTAGCGAATAAGGATCCATGTTTAGCATGGATGTAGCATGGATGTGCATGGATGTAATTTTAAGGCGAAAAATGGGCCAAAAATAATTGGAATATAATCAAAAAATTATTTAAATGCTGATAGACAAACAATTGGTCCCAATTAATACCCATTAATAGGTTATTTTGTATAATTAGGAGAAATTATTGATGGTGTGCTGTGTGGTAAAGAAGTTCAGATGGGAGAATGCCGCGAGATGGCGCCAGTGTTAAATTATCGAGTCGGCG